TGTGTGTGTGTGTGTGTGTGTGTGTGTGTGTGTGTGTGTGTGTGTGTTTAAAATCTATTCAGAATCAGGGCTCGCCTATGAATGGGAATTATACTCCAGAATTCTTGCAGTTTTAAGAATAGTGGGAGAGGCTTAGATGGAAAGCCCTGATCAGTTTCTTTCAAGGCCTGTGCATAATTTCATCTCCACGGGTAAAGCTGAAATAAAGGCCTCCACTATTCAGTTCCTCCTCTTGGACAAGCTATCATCCTCTTTCAGGAAAGAAAAAGATAACAGGCAGCAAAGCAGATGGGAAGGTAGCAGCTCACATTCAAACAATATTCACATGACCCAAAGAAGAAAAGGGTAAGTAGAAACCAAAGAAGAAAAAAAAAAAAAAGTGAAATTAAAAAACCAAAAAATTCAAACCTTTGAGTCCATGTAACGTGATAGAAAGAGGTCTGACCTGGGAGAACTTGGTTCCAGTTCTCAATTTCTCACAAATTAGATCAATAAGTGTGGGCAACTCTGGCACCCTGAGTCCCAATTTCCTCATCTGCAAAATGGGCATCTTCTCTGCCTTTGTCTGAAGGGGCAGCTTCCACGTAGTAGAAGGAGGAATGACCCGAGAATAAAAAGATCTGGATTCTAATCCCACCTAACTAGCCATGTACCTGCGAGGCAGGTGAGCTGCACTCCTGGGCCTCCCCTGCCCACCATCACGCTGTAAAATGAAACAGATCAAGCAAATCATCCCAACTCTGGCAGTCCATCAGATCTACGCAGTGTCCACACACCAGGTATTTATTGCGGAGTGGATGTCGTGCAAATGCTATACAGAAACCTTTTGCGTACTCTTAAGTCCAACCATAACTCTGCTTTTCAAGATAAAACTAGCCCTCTCCAAGTGTCCACCAACACCCCTTCTGGGGTGTTACTCTAGCCCTAGCACTCAGACAGACAACAACACTCCCAAATTAAGTTTCTTTCTCCCCAAATTAAGTTAGGCCTCAGGTGGGAGCAATAACTCTAATTTTTAATATACGAATAGAATTTTTCCTCAGGCATAGCCCGTCTCTGAATCCCACTGTGAGAAGTATTACCCTGGGAAAGCAGCTGTCCACACCCCAAACGAAAGCAGCTAGCGCTCCCAGCCACATGCCCCATCACCATGCAAGCGAACCAGTCCTCAGGACTCTGAGCCGTGGGTCTGCGGGCAGAAATGTCCCTGGCTCTGGCAATAACGAAATACTCACGCGCCGTCAGGCCCCACAGGCAGCTGGCCTTCCGCTGGCCCTCACTCTCTCTCACACACCCTGAGTCCCGCTGCAAAGAGGTGGTCCCCAGGCCCGAGGGGAACAGTACTGAAACCTTCTCTCCTAGGCTCCCAGAACAAGGGGCAAAGGAAAGGAGGGGGAGGGGTGGGGGGGAGGGGGCGACTTTGTTTCTGGAAGCAAGAATTCAAATCCTGCTTCTCCTAAACCCTGAGTCACCTCCTTCCCTCCCAATAGATCAGTGTGGTGGGTAAACATTTCCATATATGGAGAAGCAGGCTGGAGGATGTCAGAAAAATCACCCTTCTCTCCTCTGGCACTTGAAGAACATGCCCCACTAAAGACAGAATTCCTTACTCAGAGTGAATGTTTAACCCCCAAAGAAGCGGAGCCTCAACTGTTCCACAGGCTCTCCTGTTACAGGAAAAAGGCTCCCCTGTCCAGACAACGAAGTGACTGGTTTGAAAGGCTTTAAGTTCATCTTAGGAATGCGGCCATCTAGAATGCAACTACATTTATGAAGTCAATTTATTAATGGGGTGGGGTGGGGGGTGTTTAGGGGGATGCACCTGAAGAGGGTCACCAAAAATCCAGCCCACAGTTCTTTCAGTGGCAGATGAGTACGAAAACAACCCTTGGACCCCAATCCCTGACCCCCTTGGGCCTAGAGTCCTCTTGGGAACTTAGTTTCGCATGAGTTCTTCATAGGACAGACACCAGGCAAGAAGACCCAGAATAAAATCAGACTTCCAGGAGAAAACTGGAGGTGGGGGTGGGGGGGGAGGGTGGACAGAAGAGTGACATGCCCAATTTAATTTGTAAGATTCATTCCCTTAGTTTGTAAGATTAATTCTAACCTGAAGGTCCTGAAAAGTGTCCAATGACTAAATTGAACCAGTGGAGTCAATCAGGGATGAATCTGGTCTGAAATGACTCCAGACTGAATTAGAGAAGAAAGGAGAGAGATGAAATGGCAGTGTGGGGAAGTCGGGGTCTGCTCAGAGAAGGAATCTGTATCTTGGCTTCCTAGTGGTTCTATTTCTCAGCACAATCTTATTCTACTGTTGGCTGTAAAGGCTTTCTGTAGGTCAGATGAGCCATTGTTCAGAATCATCGCCCACTTGCTACTTTTTGGGCCTTCACCATGAGGGTGCTTTTTCTCATCCCAAGGCAACCTTCAAGCAATAAACACCACTGTTCAGGGAGCAAGGGGACCCAAGCCCTAAGCCCAGTTCAGTCACTCCTTACCACTTTGGACAAATCTCTTCTCCTCTCGTAGCTTATATTCTCTCATCTACAAATTGGGTAGATATCCCCAAATTGTCCAATTATGTGCTCTAAAAGCAGCTTCTGTCCAGCCTATCGAACAGTCCTGACATTTATTTTGATCACTTGTTTTCTATTTTTGCAAGCACACCACAAGTACCTGAAAAAATGGCCAACACTTCTTATTCGTTGCATGTTTCATAAGTAAACATAAATATAAGTGGTTACTAAATGAGGTAAGGAAACAGGATCAGAAAACCTTCCACCACATGCTAGAACCAGAACTCAGCACAGAATTCTTGCAACTGCAGTACTCCCAAGCGGTCCCAGAGGTAGGCTTGAAGAGGGTAAGGAGATGGTCCTAGTGTGTAACTGACACTAAACCAGCCATCAGACTTAGTGCTTCTGTAGAAAGACTGTCATCCTTTCAGGAGCTCAGAGTTCCTTCCAATATTCCAACAGGAGCATTTCAGCAGAGGAAAGAGCTATTCCATGGAAAACAACTACCCAGGGATGACCTGGGAACTCTGTAAACCAAGGACCAAGGAGGAAACTACAGAGACAGGAATGAAAACCAGAACGAAAAGTCTAAAGCTACCCTCCATTCTGCTAGCAGCACTTGGAGATCAGTTTCCATATCCACAAAGCAACCCTTCATTCCTTAATGTATGTGTGTCTTTCTTCCTCATGACCCCTGACAACCACTGGCTCTGGGATCTCAGGGGAAGAAAAGACCATAAAGGCCACTGAGCCCAATGTCTCTCCTATTTATGAACCAAACCCTCCCCCCATGGCATCCCTGAGGTCTCCAGTGAGGTGGAGATCATTATCTCCTGCAGCTGTAAATTCCATCGCTCCAACAGAAAGTTCTTCCTTATATGGAAATAAATATGGCTTCCGGGCCTTCAACCTCTGGCTCCTTATTCTGCTTCTCTGAACCATGCAAACAACCTATGCCTGTCTCATGGGTCTGGAACTTTTGTAGGTGAATGTGGCTACAGAAATAAAGCTCTCCGAGATCTCATTCCTCGGTCACCCTGGCTGCCTCCTGCCAACTTGAGGCCCATCCTTTCTGGATTTTTCCAATAAGCATTAGTGCTAAGCAACCCATTCTGCATAGGTACTGCTGGCCTTGTGGGTTCACAAGACGTATCCTATTAAATCCCAGTCACTGAGAAAAGAGAGAAAACAGACTTTGTGATCAGTTCCTCATCCACCTGGACCCCATCAACCATACCACGTTCCCACCCTTTGTGGACGAAGCTCAGGAATGCGGATCCCCTCCCCAGCTCCCCACTCCTGCTCTCCAGCCTGGCCAACCTAAAACTGTCTCCAGGATACAAGACTGTTTCAAGGAACATTAAGAGCGAGCTCTGTAAGAAAAGAGCGCCTTGCCAACATAAGCGCTCTCAGAATCACAAAGCGGCCTGCAGGCAGGACCGCGGGGCCAACTGGAGGAACACAAGGCTGGGAGCTCGTGATCCCTGACAACTGCCGGCACCATTCTCCTCCATGTCCTTTCAAAATGGGGGAAAAAATGTTCTTTTCTGCCACAGTTCTGATGTGGCACTATGTGAATTCAAGGTATGTGTGATAATGATGCCTCACATTATTGCATTCTTTACAGTTTAGTAAGTGCTTTACCAGACAATCTCATTCAATCCCTGCTGACAGCTATCCCTGGAGGATTATACCCACTGTAGTGATAGGAAAAGTGAGGCTCAGGGAGGTTAAGTATATTCCCAAGGTCGCAAAGATGGTAAGTAGTGAAAAGAATGCTGGTTTAAGAGTTAGACGATTTAAGATTCCAGTTCCAATTCTGCTGCATATGAAATAAATGACCTCTGGCCAACTGTTTGACTTTTCTAAACCTCAGTTTCTGCCGCTGAAAATTAGAGATGAAAACAGCCCCTCTGCCTACCTCTCAGAGCGGTTATGAGGATCAACTGAGGTAAGGCTAGTGAAAGCCCTCTGGAAAATGGGGAGGCGTTACAAAAGTGTAGGGGATTCTTGTGATTACTTGTCAATGACTGTGCATTCCATTACAAACACAAAAAGCAGCGAGGTCATTCTCATGACAAAGACACATTAAGGCTCTGGGAATTGAAGGGAAATGATACGACGTTCTGCAGGGTTCTGTCTATATGCTACTCATTCGTGCAGTTGAAACTCAGCATCAACTGTCAGATTTTCAGCCCCACATCACAAATGTCCCCAGGACTGCTCAAGACAAACTCGCCCTTTTTGGCTACAAGCAAATGCCAGGCCAAAAGGAGGTAACAGAGATGGGCGCTGGGAAGACCCCCTGAGAGTCTCAGTTCTGAAAACCTGACCTGCAATGTTTTCCTTGGAGAACTTGTTAGAAACACAGGCTCCAGTCTCTCTGCAACAAGCCCACAGGGAAAGAAACGCACGGTACGGAGCTATTTACCAGAGAACACTAAGGAAGCTCCCGAGCATGAATTAATCAAGGGTACAGGATATTTCAAGCTGCAGATTCCAAAAGAAATCTCCAACCCATTAAACCTCTGGCCCAGCTCACAGAGGCTCAGCCTGGCATTTGGGCAGCCCAGGCTGCAGAGAAGCCCGTTTACATACCAGAGGTCCTGCAGCAGGTCACCAGGAGCCAGGAGGCACCCAAGAAGATCTGAGAGCTCAGGTGGGAGAGCCTGGCTTCCTTCAGGCCTCCCCCAACACACTAGTCATCAGGATTCTCTTCAATTCCTGCAAAGACCCAAGTCAGCCATGGCATTTATGGAAGGGCCGGATCTTCCCCAGAAATCCATTCTCAGGGCTGATGCACACACAGCTCAACGATGACTGTTTTCTGGTTTGCATTTGATCATCTGCTTCCTTGTGCTTAAAGGTGAAGGAAGACCCTACATGGTTTTGTTGCACAGATGTGTGATTCCTAGCATGAGTGTGCGCCTGCATCCTCAGGGATGCTACAGCAAAGGGCTTTGAGATGCAAACAACTTTGCATCTCAAAGAGCTCACAAGCATGAAAGAGAAAGTCTGACCATAATACAGGACAAGAGACTTCAGTAGGGTCCCCCTCGATGGGAGAGATGGATTTCCGGGTCAGCTATTAAGAGGGTAGGACAGGAAAAGGGGGAGGTGAAGGAGTAAAGGACATTCCAGGCAAAAGGAAAGATTTGAGCCCAGGCGATAAGGAGCTATGTCCAGTGAACAGCAAGCTTAGCGGATGTGTAGGGAACTAGCGGGACAGGTGGGCAGGTGAGTGGAGACAAAGAGTAGCTCAGCAAGGTAAACTGAAGCCAAATGATAGCTGGAGGCTAAGGTGACTGGATTCTAGTTCTAAAAACAGTCTTTTTCTGAGAAGCAATCTTTGATCACACCACTGATCATCTTTCAAAAAGTAGTCTCTTTGGCTCCTCACTGCTAAATAATAACAATAACAAACATAATTTATAGATTATTTCATCTGTGCTGAGCACTGAACAAAGCAGGCTGCATACACTGTCCCATTTAACCCCATCAACAACCCTGTGAGCTAGGCAGTCTGGCTCCCATAATACAGATCAGGAAATGAAGGCTTAAAGATAAACTGTGCCAGTCTTAGAGAAAGAAAGCGGGAGAGGCCAGGATTAACTGACTCACAGTGCAAACTCAACCCCTTGCAATTCTAGACCATACTCTCCAATTTCTAACCTTCTTCTTTCCTACTGCCCAGACTCTTCCTATCCCATTTCTATGAGATAAAATCATCCTATCACACATAATAATCCTACATAACAAACATAATGATCTCCAAAAATAGTTGACAAAATTCCTTATTTGATTCTGTTTCCCCACAAAGTCCTTGGAGTCAGGAACCTCGTCTGTGTTCTCATCACTGTACACACAGTGGACAATCAATAATTACATGTTATTCAGTTAGACAACATCTCTGAAGGTTGGGCCGTGGAAGTAACACAATACTGGCTGTAATTTCCACTCTCTTCTACATAGAAATGGAACTAATCTCAGCGAGGGTCCCAAGATCCAAAGGGGAGACACAGCCAAGTTGAAAGACACAGGTCAAGAATCATGTGCCTGGAGCAGCCCGAAGGCTCTGCAGCTACTCAGGGGATGCATGACTCTGAACCTACAGCCAGGTGCTCCAAAGGCCCATCAGAAGGAGGTGGACAGGACACATATTTCCTTGACAAAAGGAAAAAGCTCCGAGACCCTCACAGCTGTGACTTGTGTTATGCCACTTTGCCTTTCAGCCTTAGTACAAAGACAGACTGGGCCAGCACAGTGGTTTTCAAACTTTTTTTCCCTAGCAGTAGAGCTTTTCCATTATGCAACATGCTTTGTGGATGCTGAGCTTGTAACGAAGATAAAAGCAGAGCTGCTAAGACTGGGCTCCAGAGCCCCCTTCCCTCCTACTCTTCTGACCATTTGTCGCCTCCCTACCTTGCAGCCCAACCCCAAGGCCCCTCTCGGAGTCTC